TTCCGTTGGTAGCTCATTCTTTTTTGAAACTTATTTCCTTGTTTTATGTCCATTAAGTTCAATAGAAGTTTGATTATTTGGGTTTTATAAACAAACCTAAATTCCCTCTTCAACTATGAGTTAAGGTACTCTGGGACACAACATTTTCCAAAACTTGGAAATTTCTTAAAGGTGACAAGGCCAAAACAGAATATTGTTACCGCTTGGATATAAAATAAAAAAGTCACCCTTATTAAAGTACTGGTAATGCTGGATTAAATCAACTTAGCTTGATGGTCATATGATAAAGTAACATTACGCGTAAATTCATGCCGAACTCAAGAACCAACTAAACAGTTCATTACTGAAACAAGAAACACAATTAAGAATTGAAACGTCGATATTAAGATATTCAAAATGACCAGAGAATTTTCTCGAACTTCTGACGAAACACTAAAGACTGGAGTTGCGTAACCAGATATCTTCATTTCGTATATTTATGCAGTTTATCTGTCTAAACACTGTGAAGACCTAAACAAAACTGCATTCTTATTACGACTTGAAATATAAATCTCCCGACCGATCTATATTCCCTTAGTTTTGGTCTGCATAATCTTTCTATCTTCAAGATTAAAAAACCTTTCACTCGATTTCTCAGTCGCCGGGTTTTCAAAAAATCTGACGTTTTCTTTGGAACTTTCAATTTTTTTTCTTGCACATTCATTTCCTATTACGTAATTTGAAGAAAGTGACCTTTTTGTGTAAATCCAGTTGAATTCAATGGTGGAAATAAACAAACGAGACAGAATTATAAATGAAATTGTTTCAAAGAATCGAGAACATTAAGATACAGACTGATATCAGCACTCAACAACTTCATTTCTTCAGCCACCGATAAGCCTCTCTCACCCTCTGTAGATGTAAATTGCATATCAAGCATTTCGTTACATTTTTTAATTGTCGTCAACGCCTGAAAAGGCTATTTAAAACCCAACTCGCAGAAAGTACTACACAACTTTAGAACAGAAAGGACAACTGCAGAAGAGAATCGCGACCAATTTCATTCTTCATGGAAATCTGATCTCTTCCTTTTCGCAACCATTAAAAGTCGAGAAACTCCATGAACTTACTTCAGTTAGCAAGGAGTATTTCAGTAATTATGAAATAAACAAAAATGATTATAGAAAGGAAAAAACTGAATAACCGAACAAAGCAATTACTTTTCCGATATCAGCCATTCTCTCGCTGAATCCAGCAAGTTCTTTATGTAATTCCTGCGCGGTTTTATGTTGGTGCTCCGCAACATTATCTAGCACATTCTAAAAAGCAGAGATGATAAAAAGGGAAGAATATCCTTATTACTGGAAACAGATGAAAAATATTAATCCTTAACGGATTTCTTGTGGTAACTTTGGATAACTGCAGTTTGAAAAGGATTTACTTAAACAATGTAGTAATATTAGTAATTAAAATATAGTTTTTGCATGTTGAAATCCGAACATTTTTCTAGAACGATCTTTGTTTAATCTTAAAGAAGCTCCACATCTCAATCCTACTCTGGGAAATAACTGAAGACTGGGAGGTTTTGATATTTTCTGATTGTGTTACGCATGGCATGCAACTAACAACAATGGTCAAGAATCCCAACCTCTGAAAGCACTTAAAATGTGTTTGCATAATATTCTAGATTTCGAAATTGCTAAGCTAAACTTTGAAATTACCCCGACTCTTTGTTTTTCGAAACTTCGTAGTACATCAATTTCAATCAGCGACACCGCATTCTGCAATAGCGCTGTAGCAACTGCCTCTTGCTCTTTTGCCTTCTTTTCCATGCGCTTGATAATATAGTCTGATTTGACGAGTGCCTCTTGCGCCTTAAATTAGAGAAAAAATTTGGATTTCTCAAACTCCTTGAGAAAATAAAGAACCATTCCTATTTGAAAGTGAAGAGCTTGGAATGGAGATGAATAAAAAGTTAAAAAAGGAGTTCAGTTTTACTACTCAAAAAAAATTTTGCATTGAAAGTATGTAAGGAATCAATTGCTCAATTGAAAGAGGGACTTTTTAGTTTGACCAACTATTTGTTTGAATATCAAGTCACTATATATTCCTTCCAGTTCCAATTAATCCTTACATATCCCACTTTTGTCATCTTACACATTGTGAAGGGGAATGAACAGCGACTATTTGACAAGAGATATTAAAGTGAAAGTCTTAACTCAAACTTCAACGTATTGTAAACAAGGTAAGGGTAAGGATAAAGTTTTCAAGATAAGCTTTTCTGTCTCTTTTCTGTTTCTACACCATGAGGAAACTCACTTGAGTAAGCAAGTTACTTGGAAATTCAATGATTTTTGATCACAAATTAGCATGAAATAAATTTACGTATGATTTTACGAATTAAAAAAAAGATATTATCAAATTCGTACCTCGCATAAGCGCACGATTTGTTCGTTGTGTTTGTTTTTCTTTGCACGAAGCTCTACAAGCTGAACTGAAGGAATGCGTTTTCTGTGTGAATCGACAACAGATTTTTGCCTCCGAAACTGCAAAATTGGAAGTTATTCGCTGTTTTTTTGATGGACCAATTACGGGGATATATTGTACTTAAACTACTGTTGGACAGGCAAGTTATGGTGACATTATATTCCTGCAATTATTATTTACCAACAAAATTGCGCTGTATCAGCTACTGCGCATTCGTGTTAACCTCCAAAATGAATAAGAAGCACAATGGAGTGGAAAATACTACGGAATAGCGAGGGACGATTTCCTGAAACGCGAAACATACCTTTGAAATACCCTGATCAGAAGTTCGCTGTTGTTTTGATAGATTGGATTTGGAAGGTGGTAATTTCGGAGTTGCGAAAGTGACATGCTGCAGCGACATACATACTTTTTTAGTTAGAATTAAACAATCAATTAGTAATGGCTTCATATCATTCACTCACATGAGCCCACTCAAAACTGTCAAGCTTTTTAAGATATATGATTTATCCGGAACAAAAGTCCTCTTCAATACTTATTACCCTATATCCTTCGTGCAAAACCCTTTCATCGGGAAATTATATCCTTCACCAGAAATTCCAAGCAAATTTCAAAATTTTCAATATTTTACATCGATGTAAAATCCACCTAGACCAAAAAGTGAAAGTTTTCAAAATGTAAATTTCAACAATGTGTCTTTTATCAGAAGCTTGTAGCATCTATCGTTGTTTTTTCACAGGTGAAAGAGTGGTCGTGAGAAACTACAAGTTGAAGATATACTCGCTTAGCATCCGAATCTTTAGATCGAGATTGGGCATGTGCTGACTGTTTCTTAAGCGAAGGCCGCAGGACTGTTGCTTCACTTGGATTGTTTGACATCAGTAATCGAACTGCCTGAAAGAATCAAAACCTGTAATATTTAAACGTGAAACTTAAACATCTCACTCTCTCTATAACTTGAAGTTATTGATACATCTCGCCATTAAAGTAGTGTGAGTGACAACATCTGTCATGAACTAGATGCCGCACATTTAATTGTTTCACCGGTGATGCTACTGTATGCCGAATACTCCTGATAAATTTAAGTGTGCTATGTCTCCTATCAGTTCCAATCCGACTATAAATCTAACTGCCTCCCTCTCTTCCTTTCAGGAAAGCGGCTATCCTAGATAGAGCTTCTAATATCCAGTGACTGCAGTTGTGTAGTATGAGTGAGGATACATTGCTTCTCTATGCGAACTCATTAGTTTCACTAAGGAATGACTTTGTCTCGTGAACAGTTAATTTACTAAATTTTCCCAAAGTGTGAAAAATGCGAAGCAAAATTCTCGCCACCACTCAAAATTCTCTCATCCAACCATCATACCATGCTTATGTGACTTCTGTAAGGGTTGTACCTCTGCATCTGTTTAATGAAAGAATTTCAAGAAAGTCAAGTAAATACGGTTGCTTAAGGTGGTAATTCGTCTTCCCGGGCATTCTCAAGCAACTAATTCGTCTTCCAGGACTTTCTCAAGCCAGTAATTCGTCTTCTTGGATTGATATTAGCTATTTATTGATTAAGATAACAAATAAACGTAAACAAAACAGTGAGAGGTGAGAATTCAGACCGCGGATCGTGCAACGTTGTTTTCTCGCATTCCTCTTTTCAAGATTTCTTTGAAGAGGTTTGTAAGTTCTCCCCGTTCTAATTTTTTTTTGTAAGTTCTAATTTTCAGTAATTCAACAGCTGTAAATGTTAGACTTATGGTGAATCCCGTCGCTTTTTATCCTGGCATGAACAAACAGATCTCTAGGGCAGACTGCAACCAGTAGAGGGCGGTTGGGTATTTAGCAGCTAAGCTGAGCTACATATAAAGAAACTGTAATAAATTCAACTTGTCAAGATATTGTCCAGAGAAACATAGTATTCAGTACAACATAGCGGATAATGGATAGGCTTTCACAATAATTCAATGACATGAAGTTGATCTTGAATTTGATTTTAAAAAATTTTCAGTTCAAAGAGCCACTGGAATATTCATTTATTAATCTTCAATCCTTTTTTCTGAATTTTGAGATACGTCTGATATTCCTGCACTGCTCGAAGCAACAAATCCTCAATCCTTTCCGTTCGCAAATTTTTCACGGGTGATTGACCTGTTTCATTCGTATTTAAAATTTGGTGAAATGATTCCTAAAAAAAATGGTTCTATTTACTATCCTATGACTTCGGTGGACTTTCTTTTAAGAAGAAGAAAATCAGACACAGAAGTTACTGTCTCATTTTTTTGAGAGAAATTTTCCTTTAAGAAGAAGAAAATCAGACACAGAACTTACTGTCTCATTTTTTTGATAGAAATCCTGTTTAGGAGAATCGATATTTTCTGAAGTTTCTGTCGACCGACTCAAAGCTAAAAACAAAGTGTTTTACGAAAAGCTGGTTAAATAAAGAAAGAAAGGTTGAAATTATGCTAGGAAATAAAGAATTAAAAAATATCACTTCGTGTTTTTCAAAATTTCCGGGGAAATTTCAGTTCCATAAATTCATTGAAAAACTAAAGGCAGAATTCAAGGTAAGGATCACACTAATGACTTAATCACTAAATCTTTTTCAAACCATAATCTTGTCTCCCTGTAATCTTAAACCGTTTCATGATGTAAATCACGCTAAACTTATAATGCCCTTACTGGTACATCTTTGAGTTTTTGAGCAGATTTTTGATCGATACTTCGCTTTCAGTCGGCATTCGTACAATAACTGTTTCTTGTCACAGATCACATTTCTGAAAATGGGGTCTATGAAGACAAAAAAGCAGTTTACTGCCACATCATCTCTGACTGACCACAAGTTGGAGACATAGTTCCGTAGCTGCTGTATTATTGACCTGAACGAACTTCATGCTGTCCATATAAAACCATTTTGCTTGATCCAATTATAATTATGTTTACAAGAATTTGTAAACATCTTTAAGAGGTAGCACAATCGACACGCGTTGTTTGTCTTCTTAAAAAAGGCACTCAGGAAACAGGAATAATCAAAATGTTTCCGAAATAATCAAAAATAATTTCGAAAAAAAAGTTCAATTTAGAAATCTTTTGGTCTTGATACAAAAATTTCTAAAACATTACTAGCAAGTTGTCATCAAACTATCTTAAAAAACTAAAAACTTGCGTTGTATATGCTGTTGGGACGGTAACCTCGAACGTGATATTATCATTATCAGGACATTTCCTTTGAGAGCCATAGCGATGACGTGAGCACTTTTTGCGCTTCTTTCGAACCAACCCTTCATTATGTTGCTCTGAATCTTTGCTTTTCCCGCTTCTTTCCATAATATCCGGCAACGTTCTCACAGGTTCTGTGTTTTCTACGCGTAAGTCATGAATATCTTTTTTGTTCTCCAAATGTGTTGTAAGGTTTGGCACCGTATTCGGCGCTGTGGGTGTTTGATTAATTTTGTCATATTCAATGTCGACAGCTGTTTTTGTGTATGCCTGCATTCTTGGTATCTGCTCATTTTCATGATCTGTCAAGAAAAAAGTTCTCGTTGGAACAGTTTCATCATTCGGATGATCCACCGTTGTCGAGAGTCCAGGATTTATTGCTAATAAAGGAAATATCTTCGGGGATGAAGGAAAGATTACAGAAATTGGTGACACATTCGGAAGTGTAGGTGAAGTCACGGAAGTTTCTGGAATTTGCGAGACTGTGTAATTTTTTTAGTTTGAATAAAAGTTCCGTGGTTTTTTGAGAATCCTTCTTCCTGCGATTTTCAGACTTCGCAGCATTAGATACCATAGATGCTTGATCTATTTCGGAAAATGTTACATTTAACATATCATTCAATACTTCGTCAAGAAATTCATCTTCCTCACTACTATTCGATACCGTTTGGTATTTGGCATTTACAACTTGCAATCGCATTTCTTCTGAAGGTGAGTTTTGTGATTTTGAGAGTTGGGAATCAGTAGTTTGTGACTGCGGATATACTTCCCGATCGTTTTTATTGGTGAAATTTCGATCTGTTGAAAACATTGAATTCTGTTCCAGAACTTTATAACCTTTATACACCCTATCTGCCAATGTGTGTACCGGAAATCCGAATTCATCCACTGATTTGTCTCCTTCTAGATACGCTGCTTCATATGATGATAATTTTTTCCTTTTGTTTTAGAGGAGATCTTTCCAAGTCCCATAGAATCTGGTTTACTATGAATTTGTTTAGTATACTTATTTGTCATTCGGGAGTCAAGAGGTTGCAAAATGGATTTATTATGTTCATTTTTAGATTCGTGCTGTGATAACTCATTGAGATTTATATGTTTTGTAGAAGCTTTTTCGCCAGACAATTCGTCAGACTCTTCATTGCCTTGTTCTTCAGGAATCATTTCAATAGCTTCATCATTGTCATGCTTGGGAAACACCTTATCGCCAACAGCTGATGGTTTATCTTTCGTCTTCAGCAAGCTACTCTCATTCACAACATCCTGCAACAGTGGTAGAATTGTTCCGTTTTCTAATGAATCGCTTTCATTCGAACGTTTATGTTGTAACCTTTGTTTCTTTTGATTTCTAAATTTCCCGTTAGATTCAGAGGGTAACTTCGTTTCCTTAAATTTGTTTGAAGTTTTCTGCAGCGCCCCAGTACTAGTTTTATTCAATGTTTGTGGTTTTGTATTACATTTATATCGCTTTCTTTGTCTAGTCGGATGTTCTGAAAAATAATCCGAGTCAGAGGAATCCGTCTGACTTTCTAATATACAACCATCTTCATTCACAACTTCAAACTCCTCTTCAATCTTTTCTGCTGCATAAAAACTGGCTTCGTCAAGTGATTGTTCGTGCTCGCTTTTTTCATAATTTATCATTTTTACTTCTTTTCTAGCTTTATTTTTGTCAAGCTGCAAAAAAGGTGTTCCAAAAAATCCGCCAAATTTTTCCGCTACTGTTGCTTTATATTCTGACAAATCAACAGGTGTGTGGACGATAAAATCGTTTTCATTATGGATCCTTTCGTAAATCGTCTCATCCAGATCTTTCTGAGTTTTCAATTTTTCAGTAGTCGGGGTCAAGATCGAATTTTTGGAATCACTTGCTATTTTCTTGATCTCACTTGCCTCAGTATTTGAGGTGTTGTCTGCTATTTGACTCGAATGCTTAATAATATTGATACTTCTCAGAGGACTTTTCAAACCTTCTGCTTGTTTTCTGCTGTTTTCTTTAAGCACTTTGGATATCCTTTTGATGGCTTTTTGCAGAAAATCAAAAAATTTTTCAAATTTTTTGATATAAGCAATATTTGGACTATTAATAAGTGCTCCATTCTGATTTCTAACGTGTCCACTCTTATCAGTTCCTGAACTGGTTTCCAGTTTGTCTTCATTTGTAGCTGCAAGTTTAAGTTTACGATCTTTCTGCATCATTGTTGGTATAAACGGTGAGATATTCTCATCCGAAATCGAATTTTCCTGAGTTTTTTTGATTTTATCGGTTCCAATATCTTTATTTTCTGGTCTTTTGCTATTGGCGAATATTTCGGAAATTAGTTTGGCTCCATCGGAGAGGAATTCTTGATATTCGTTACTCGATTTCATAAATTTCGGTACTGCAGTAACTACTGTACTAAAATACACACCACTCGTATTAACTGCAGTCACTTCTCTGATTCCTGGATGTGATTTATCACTAACCATCAACTTCTCATCGGCTTCTGGATCTGAAAGTAATGAAATTAATGCATGATTATTATTGCATTTTCTTTAATCAAGGTAAGCACAAGTAGTAAAGAATACCCTTTTACCTAATCTTGAAATGGAGCTGCTCTTCAAGAACTAGTAAGATTTTCCATTATCCATCATCTAAATTTTACGAATGGAAGAATGAAATACTACTAGAAATGAAAATTTAAAAAGCCATGAAGCAAGGGAAGTGTAAGCGACAATATAACCTGAACGACGTTTTCTTTGCCTAGGTTGCCGCTGAATATGTCGTTTTTTAGGAAGCTTGAAAATGATCAAAGTAGGCAAAGATGTTGTGGCATTTATAGAAGCAGAATATTGTTGTTCAAAGTCATTTTGTATCATTTGGAGACGAAGTTCGTCAGCAATTAAATTTTGCAACGACACAAATTCGATTGGATCGATGTGAGCGTTCTGAAATAGATTTTTTATGAAAAAAAATAATTATGAATAACAAAGGCAAATTTTTGCTGGCAATCTGTTTGGAAACTATCCTAGCAATTTAATGTTTTTAATTTTCAACTTCTTTAAGGCTACCTTATTGACGTCCACTTTGCTGAAAATTTTTTTCAAAATAGATTTTTCTAATTGCTTCTCATATTCTTGCAATAATTCACTGAACGATACTGCTTCATCGCCATTCTTGTCGAGACCCTAAATAATTTACTTTTAGGCGATAATGGATTTTAAATTAACTTTAGAAAAATATTAAATAACTTTCACGTTGACAATATTTATTGACATTTTCTAGCAGCTATTTTGAATTCAATGATACTGATAATGAGAAATTTTATCTTATTATTAGTGAGCTTTTGAAGTTAATTGGAATAGAAAAAAACTAACGGATAGTTTATTCAGTGCAGCAATAGCAGCTTCTTCCCGTAGTTTAGTGAGGTAATCGACCAACTCTAACTCATTTATCTAAAGATAAATTGTTATTACTAAAGCAAGATTTCTTTTTTTCGGTATCCAAAACCCAAAGATATTTCAGTACCTATCTTACTTATTGTTACATACATTATTTTAATATTTTCTATCATTAACATTTAATTTATGTTTCGAATTTTCAGGCCTTTGGGTTTCGGATATATCAAATTTCTGAAATTCCTAAATTTTTGCAGAGAATCTTTTTCAGTTTCTTTCAGTTTAAAATGTTGAAGGAATATTTAAAAAGCAACCGTGTGATCAGTTCGATGGCTGATATCCTTAAAAACCAATGTTGCATAGCTGGGTTCAATATCGTAACGTAAGCCAGCCAACATCTGCGCTTCTTGAATGTTCAGTCGATGGTCTCCATCAGTATCATAGACCTGAATCAAGATGAGGAATGATGTATGTAAATAGTTATTTTGGAAAGTTTCTTAGATTGCATGTGCAGTCTTTCCAGATTCCCGACGATTGTTAAGAAACAGGTTAAACGAACTAGAAAGAGAGTCTCGCTGGTTGTGGTAGTGTTCTTTCTTTAGCATTATTGATTCCAGATAACTGCGGGAATTGCTTGTTTGATTGATGTAAATTTTAAAATATAGATGATCTTATTTCACATAAGTCACCTCATTTTTATATATTTTGAAAATCTCTGATCTCTACAACCTCATTCCATATCTACTTCATACTGTTTGTTCTGCAGGAATTGCTTGTTTAGTTGAGGTAAAATTTAAAGTATAGATTACTTTATCTCAAATAAATTACCTCATTTTTACATATTCTGAAGATCTCTGATCTCTAGAATCTTATTCCACGTCTATGTCATGCTGTTTTCATTTCAATAGACATCATCAACAATAGTCTAACTCACAAACCTTTAACAGTCCTTTTCCTTCTTTCAGTGCCAATAATCTGCTGCAGTGAAGTGTTTCAACCAGTTCACTGGATGTCAAATATTTGTCTTTATTGACATCACTTTCCTGGAAACAACCCTTTACATCTCTCATTGACAACCCAAGCTCCATGTAAATGGATTCGAATAGTTCCATTTCACTCAGGAGACCATCGCCATCCGTATCGTGATCCTGAATGATCAATGAATGAGATCTCTTAATTCTGGCAAATAGACTCCATATTTGCTAGGAAGTCCACAGATTTGGTACGATATTCTACTACAGCACAGCATTTGATGTGTTTTTGAAAAATAATTCTTTGACTCTAAACTGCCGTTTCGGATTAAATTAAATTTTCAAAAATATCACTTCTAGCCAACGCAAAGTTGCTCGTGCAACGTGTCTCCGAACTAGTCTGGCGGCTGCCATAACCTCAGTGCGATCAATGAATTTGTCGTCATTTCGATCCGCTTTCCGGAATATATCCTAAGGAAAGGAAGATTTAAAAGTGCCCAAGAAACAGTGAGTCCGAATTCGTTCCATTCTAAATGGATCATATTATAATAAAAAGGCATAAAATTGATTTGGAAGAACATAAGGCTAAGAATGTGCAATGAGAAAATTAAAATTCCTCGAAATAAAGGAAACTGTTACTTATCCAAGAATAATCAAGATATTACATCGCTGATTGTCGGTGGAAGCTTGTGATCCATATATGCTACCGTCCTCAGTTCTCTACGATCAACTTTCCCATCCTTCGTCAAATCATAATGAGTCATATATTGATTTACTTGAAACAGAATTTAGATGTAGATATCAAAAAAGTAAGAAGGAATTTGATTTTTGCCATATAAGTTTAGTCTGTTTGTATTTCCCATGCCGTGCACCAATCATTTCGCATGCGCGCAAATAAGGTCTTCACTTAAGGTTCCACATGACTTTCAAATAAAGTTGAATTTCTTGCTCACCTGTACTAAGAGCAGTAGTGCTGAATAAGATAATGGTTGCGGTTAATAATATCCATGGTTGAGACATCTGTATATCTAAAAAAAAACCTTGCATTTGTATACCAAATAAATTTGAGTCATCCTTCAGTTTACCTCTATTGCAGTTGACATCAATGAGCATTAGCTATCATCTTAACCCCCATTGTGCGCTCGCGATGTTGCATGCTAAATTCACTGACTGATTTACAATTTTATTTACAATTTTTGTTTTTTCAAACCTTTCGTTTAGGAAAAGGTGCAAGGTAGCTTGATTTATTCTTTGTGCGACAGCAAAACTGTATTACTCATAGCTGGATCCTTCTGGATGACATACCCTTTATTAAGAGAAAATTTCAAGATCAAAATAAGGAAGATGTCATCCATAGTAAAGTAGTCAAAACAACGTTAGCAAAGTTCTAAAAAAAAGTTGAAACAGCCGTCATTTCGAGAAGTGAAAACGAGAAATGACTTGAGTAATTCCATAAAATGTATAAAACAACCATGTATTTCAACACAAAAACGCTATCAACATATCCGACATATCCGACTCGAATGAGCCAAATTTGCTCCATTTACCCATATCATGTGTCCCATATTAATTTTATAAATTTTTGAAAGGAATTGTAAAAAAATTAGCACAAGAGTTTTCTAGGTCAAGGTCGTAACGAAACGGTATATTTTCTTTAATGAACATCTTCAACGAGACATAACTGTATCGCTATCAGTGCGCGACCCAAATCTTTCCGCAATATAAAAGAAGTATTGCCTAAGAAAGGCACTTCATTTAGGTAGAATTACTTCCAATTGTTTCGCCATTTCTTTTACTACGAATACGTGACATGAAGGACAGTTGGATACTGATATATTTTCAGCTCACATCCAAGAAAGAATGATAGAAAAACGGAGTAGCCGTAGCAACTAATATAGCATAATACAACCTTCCACGAGTAACAAGTAAACCTGCAAGCTAATGCAATAACAATATGCAAATATATCATCACATGTGAATGAATGGCGCTTTTACCCCATTTGTAATAGGACTGCAGGTCTGTACTGTGTGTGACTCAAAGGTTTTTGAATATCTTGGAATCCAACTTGCCAGCAACATTACCATTGTAATAAACAGTGTGCAAATACATCATCAAATAGGAATGAATTACGCTTCTATTGCACACCAAATATTCCCTAATATACAAAACTTCTACCCACTGAGCCAACAAATTTGATCTATTTAGCAGATGATAATAAAGCTTTGTTCTGAAATCTGAATTCAATACGCTTTTATCTGCATAGCATTCAAAACAGAAGTGATGTTTATAGACAATGAAATGAAAATATAAAAACAAAACAGCAAACCTTAAATATCGAATAATAAAGTGATATTAATTCAAACATTTCTCTAGACTGAGTAACAGCAGCACTGGCATACGATGGAAATCCCGAGCAATGATCGGAACTACATGCTACTAATAAAGTATTGCTTGCGCAGAAATGGAATATTCTCTCTAATAATGAAAACCTTTCCTTGATTTTTTAGTATTCATAGCTAAATTGAGAAAAACAAAACTAGATAAAGGACAAATGGACAAAATGCTTCGCATGGTTAGAAAGTTTAAAAAAGGTCAAAATGAGGTGTGATATGGAGGATGCAATCTACAATTTAAAAAAAAAAACAAAAAACAAGACTAAATAAAGGACAAATGGACAAAATGCTTCGTATGGTCAGAAAGTTTAAAAAAGATCGAAATGAGGTGTGATATGGAGGTTGCAATCTACAATTTTGATTCCAACAACTCTTTTGTTAGTTCATCTGGTTCTCGAATTTCCAAATTCTGAAAAACTATTATGACATCTCATATAAAAAAAAGAAACATTTTCTTTTCAGAAGGAACTCTCAAAATTTGGTAAGGCAGAGTCAAAAAACCGAACCTTGAAAATTTAGCTCATGTTTAGTTTTTCAACACAAGAATTATAATTGAGAATGTAATTATACTGAGGGTAATATAAACACAAAAGCAGAAAAGAAGCCATGGAAAAAACTGAGTTACTTTTATAAGATGCAATGTTTTTCATTCGATCACGCTTTTCATTAACAGAAAAAAACTCGTAGACTCTGATTTCATTACAAAATTTAAATGTATCTACAGTAAGAAAAAAGTTCGAAAATTAAGCCATATAAATATCTACAACCACTGCAGTTATTCAAACATACTGTTGTTTTTTGTTCCACCAAACCCAAAGAGCTATTCTGCGCAAAGTATATCATGGACATAATTCCTGGTAAACCGATAAAGTTTATCCATTAAGATATCGTAACATTTGAAGAATTTTCAAAAAAAAAACCCTAATTAAGCTCACACTCCTTCGCCAAATTGTTTCTACTACCAGCATACATCATTCGCAATTGTGGGTTGGATCCTGTAATATTTAATTAGGACCTATAAACTGCTCAGCTAAGTCACATTTAAAAATAGATTAAATATCATCGAAAAAAAAAAAAGAAGAAACATCTTCATCATACATCTTCATCAATAAAAAGAAACCACCCTAGCGTCAAATGAAATGTTCAGTCTTTTCCTTCTTTCACCTTCCCCAGAAATTCATAAATTTTTATCCATGATAAGCTAAACCTGATGGACTGTAGAGCACAAGACAGAGTGGATATGAAAGATGTCCATCATCGTGTACACGCTTATAGCTTATTACAATATACCGTGGCTGTTGCACTGGTAATTCATCACAGATCATACTTGGATCGCAATCCTAGAAAAAAAATTTTGTTTCGCACCAGTAATTATTAAGAAAAATCTGGAGCTAAGTTGAAGTAACTATTTTTGAAAGAATCATCCGGTGGAAAGGAGAAATACCTCAAGTTTTTGATCCACCATAATGAGCTGTTTCGCTGGATCAATCTTCACTGCAAATTAAGTGCATGGTCAAAGTAAAAATACTGAAGAAAGTGCAGAATATGAGTGTATCGAACCTCAATTATAATCAATTCCGTTATGAAGGGATTACATGCATCCGAAGTTTAAAGTTTAAAACCTATTAAAAAATTCGCTATTTCAAACCAAAAAATTCTGTCAGTTTCAAATCAAGAACAATTTTTTAAATGGAATAAAAATGCACATATCAAGGCATTTGTTGAGCGTTTTCTGCTAAATCGAAATCTCTCCAACTCGTCTTTCAGATCCGCCGGTATCGCACATATTTTTAGTGCACCCGTCTGAAATACTGCCCAATTAGTTCTCGAAAAATACATAATATGTAAAGTGGCGACAGAAACAGCTCAATCAATAAAGGCCACATTTTGAAGTTTGTACCCCACTTAAACAGGTTTCATCTTTATAGACTATATTGCTGCTGTATGTTACAGAAACAAAGTTAGAGATTATATCACCAAAACGAGAGCTAAACAGGACAGGACGACAGTTACTTTTATTCAGGTGATTAATTGATTCAAAATGATTTTTCTATTTAAATAATTAATTAATTTATGTTGGATTTGATGGCTTTTAGAAACAAAACTTTAAAACTTGGGAACTTTCAAGAAACACAAACCATTTTGAATGATGGAATAGTAGAGCACACCTTTGATCAATTCTTCGACCACTATGAAATTTACGCGTCGATTTACTAATACTTTTCGTAAAAAAAGAAGTTCAACGAAATTATTTTAATTTAAAAAGCAGAAACCATTTACGACCACTGCTATACAGGGAATTATAAAAGGTTAAGGTTCAGAACACATTTATATTTCTTTACATGCTTCTTACGTGGCAGTGAAACCTACTACCTCTTATCCATTCCTTTCATTCTGTATTTCAATTTCTCCAGTCAGCTCAATTCTATTGAACGAGGTGCGCTACTTTATCCCAAGTTACATCTCGATCTCCTTTATCCAACTACTTGACTGTCCGAACATTCAAGCTCGAAGGCAGCATCGTTCCTCCAATAATCTGTCCCACTAATCCAATAACATGACCGAAGTTCCTGGATTATTCCGCTCGAAAACTCAAACTGTCATAAAACTTCTCCAAAAGAAATATAAAAACTGGCCAGATTAATACTCACCAATACACGATGACACAAGTCCATCCAGACAGTGTTCTACGACAGAATTGCCCACGATGACCTCACGATCTGAACTTTACTCTTCTTTCAACGGCGTTAAGATTTTTTAAAAGCACAGATAAGTCTCTGAGAAATGCAAAAGATGTTCTGGAGCAGTGAGGACGATTAGTTTTTTTTTGTTTAATTTGTTGAGAACGGTAATTAATACATAACAAAAAGGTGAAATCTAAAAAGGTGAAATCTAAAATTTTTTTTC